AGGGCACAGCCGGGCGCTGCCGACGCCCCGAGGACTCCGTGCGCGCCCTCCCTCCCGCTGGCGATGCCACCTCCCCGCGTCCGCGCCGCGCCCTGCAACGCCGGGTTCCGGCTCTCACCCAAACACCCGGGGCCAAATCCTCCCGACGCCGCTCTTTTCAAAATTAGGCACCCTCAAAAGCCAGGGTCGTTTCTCTTCTTTTAGATTCGTTCTCTGCTTTTCCAAATTCCCTCCAAGTCTTAGTCTTGCATAGCGTGACCACTTTCATAATGAAAGAGAAGGAAGAAAAAAAAAAAAAGCAAAAACAAAAACAGTTTTCTAAAAAAAAAAAAAAAAAAAATGAGATGGAGAGAAAAAGCCTGGGGATTTAATGATCTAAGGACCGTGGTTCCAGAGTCTCCCGTTTGGGAAATAGGTTTTGGCAAGGATTGAAGAGGCGCCTCCCGCCTGAGTTTCTGCGTCTGCTCCTCTGAACCTCGGGGCTGGAGAAGCGCCTTGGCACTGGCGCTTATTTATTAAAATACCGGCTCCAGGCTCTGACGACCCGAGGAGACGCGCCGGTTTCCGAGCTGCGCCCGGAGCGCGGGCGAGAAGCGCAAGCACGGACGTGGGGCGCCACCTACGGGCGCTGGGGCCTCCCTGCCGCGGGCTGCGGGCAGGCGCTTCCGACGAAAGAGTGGGGGCGTCCCAGCGACAAGGGACAGGCTGGCGGAGGGTCCTCCTTCACCCCCCAAAGCAGCGCTGGCCTCTGCAGAAATACAACAGGAGCAACAAAAGCAAGAATGATAATAATCCGTCTTTCAATACCTTTGCCCCGACAAGATGAAGCGGCCCTCTTGATGTTGCAGATCTTCGCTGCTCTAACAACCCTGCCAAGATGATAGATGCTCCCGGGTGGTTATCATCAGTTGTTATTGCCTGCACAACGTTTGCACAGACCACTAGGCCGCATAATCCAGACCATCCCTAAACAGAGGCAATATTTAAATGTACTTTCTCTTTTGAACCTGATTATTTAACACATCGTTTAAAAAGTACATTGCTCTTTGACTTGCATAGTGTGTCTTTTCTGATAGGCTAATTAAAAATAAACCCCAAGTCAGCCAGCGCTGTTCATTAGAGTGTCTGTATTTCTTATTCCTCCAGACTTCACACCTAACCCTCTTTCCTTTGAAGATTCCAGCAGTGTTCTGATTCCACAGTGAGAAACAACGTAGGTCTTTTCAGGTGGAGGGTTTTGAAGGCCTTATTTCCCATAGGCTCTCTCACGGTTCTTGCCCCATTTAGAATAGAGCTGCCAAGGCCTCATCTCTAAGCAGGGAATATGAAATTCATGCCAAATCACTTCAATTGGAATGGATGTGCAGGAAGGCTGGGACAAAGAAAAACCAGTATTGCACACTGTTGGGCGAGACAAAATATTTAGTGTGGGTGTATGTGATTAAAAGAGCCAAATGCTTTCTACTCAACATAATATGCAAAATAGTAGAAAATATAAAATATCTCCAAAATCTCTCATCTTCCTAAACTCTAGCCACTGAAAATTAAGTACTATACTTCAACAATTTTATGACATGCTGGTCATGTGCTAGGAAGTCTTTCAAATCCACCATAGATTGCCATGCATTGTTATTTTTTTTGTGACTTTAATATAGGAAAAGTTGTTCACTCTTACTTTCAGATAGTTACTTTATTACACTATTGCATCAATCTGATAGTGTCTTAATGTCAAGATAAGCACAACTCTGTCATTTCAACATAGAGAGTACTGAGCAAAATAGTAAAGGACACTAGATCCGCGAAAGAAATGTGAGGCACAGACTTATGATTAGACCAATTTGGGAATGCTAATTACGTAGCAGTGCCTCTCACACATCTATAAATCTTTAAAGCCCTGTTAAGCAACTTTCTTAAATACTGTGCTATAAGCACTTTTTTTGACTAATAGAAATGCAAACACACATGAACTAAATTATCATCACCTTTGGGGGAAGAAAAACAAACCTCTTTTGTATGTGGCGATGAAAATGTTTAAATAATATATTTTTTAAAATCTTTATGTAGTGGACTCAATTATTGAATGACAGCAATAACCACTCATATAATGACAAAAGCAGGTTAGGGTTGAATTTAGGTTTGAGATTATTTTCCAGAAGGAAGCTAGTAATTGTGAAAGATAGCAGATTGACAGATAAATTGATTAATTGGTTGCTCTATGCAAGGAGATATTTAGGTCAATCAGCAGCAGTTTAGCTTGTAAAAATGCTTAGAAAATGTGCAGAAATAACTAAGATTTCAAAGCAAAAATATTTCTACTTCTCTCCGGTATTATTTTTTCTGTCCCATTTGTATGTTATTAGTGATTGCTGCTATTACTACTAGAACATTAGAGTAGACTTTGCTCCTGTAAGTGTAAGGACATGTCCATAGACAATAAAAATGATGTCAGCTTTATTGGACACTTGTGATGTGTGAGATCTTGCACTATGTCTTTTGTCTAGTATACAGCATACTGTTTAATACCCACAACCACTCTGTGGTAGATGGTTACATAGAGCTGAAGAGGAAAATATTCTAATATTCTGTTGTGGTTTTTTTGAGTTGGAGTCTCACCTGGTCGCCCAGACTGAAGTGCAGTGGCCACCGCAGCCTCGCCTGCTGGGCTCGGGTGATCCTTCTGCCTCAGCCTTCTGAGTAGCCAGAATTACAGGCATGCACTACCACACCTGGCTGATTTTTTTTTTTATGTATTGTAAAGATGAGGTCTCGCTGCCCAGGCGGGTCTCAAACCTGCGGGCTCAGGCAATCCACTCACCTCAGTCTCCCAAAGGCGCGGGATTACAGGCTGAGCCACCGAGCCCGGCTAATATTCTAATATTCTAATT